CTCTGAGAGATCTTGAAACTTGACATGTAGATGCTTGACAATGTATATGGGCCTATGTGACTTTATTGGACCACTGAAAACCACAAATTCATTGAAGGAACCAAAACCCTAATTTTGACTGGCTTAGGAGGATGTTTGACTGTGCAACCCTCTGAGAGATCTTGAACCATTTGAGAATGATTCTTGACAAACCTTGAAGAATATGGGAGGGAAAATTTTGGGGTACAACAAAGTGTTTTTGAAAAATTTGTCTGAAAAGGAGTGTAAGTGTAAAAAAAAATTGTTTTGATTGAGCAAGTACTTAAGAACTAATCTACCTACTCAAAAAAGTATTGTTCTGTATTTGTTTCCTTTAGACAGCGCTATCCCATTATTAGTGAGTAGGTAGAACCCTCGTTGGAGTTTTGAGGATCAATTCGAAAGGGACGTACGGTCACTAAAGCAATGTTAGGACGTCTTAGTAGTAACCCTAATGTCTTAGATCAATTATCCGAGGCAACAATTCCAAGGCAACCTTTCCGAGGAAACTTTGATCTTTGGACGAAAGGACGACCACTAAAGCATCCTATACCTAATGACCGTTTACCGAAGGTAACCAAGTGGGAGTGTACCCTAGGAGTGCGCATGTGCGAGTGATTCAATTTCAGATTTATTTATCTTTGCACATGTTAGGGTTATTTAACCATTTTAAAGTTTACATACATTCTTGTCATGCATCCTAATATCATACATCTAACAGTTTAATATTTTGCGGAATTTAGAGTGTGGAAATTAAACTACGCTATTACAAGGCTTCAGGTATTTACATAGCCAAAAACAAACCCTTTGAAAATAAAGCGATAAAAGTAAAGACCTAATTAACTATTACAACTTGTAGGCAATTACAATAATATGGTAAATAACAAATAATAAAATGCGCGCGAGAAAGATTAGATCGAGAGAGAATTAGGGTTTTGACCCTTCTATCCTAATTAAAAAAGAAAATGTTTTTTTTTATACTATTTTTAGGAAAAGAAAATATAATTAAGTTAGAAAAAAAACTAATTGTTCTAATTATTTTTAATTTATTTACAAAATAATTAAAGTTACCTAAAATTAAAATCTAATTAAATTAATTATTTTTTTTTGATAAAATCTAAACCTAATTTGGTGAAAAGTTGATTTTATGAATTTTTGATTGGTTAAAAGGAATTATTTCAGTATTGAAAAAAGGATAATAATAATAAAAAAAGCAAAAGAAATAACCCAAGGGCCTACTGCCAGCGGCTCTGATAAGAGGATAATGATCCAGAAGATGATGGCGGTCCAGAAGATAGTGGTCCATAGGAATGATGGTCCAAAAGATGATGGTGGTCCAGAAGATGATGGTCCAGAGGATGGTGATACTGGGCCTACTTCTGGCTAGTGGATCCAGCAAATTGTGACTGTTAGAAGATGATGTGTGCTGAATCTGGCTGAGACTGATGGATCCAGAGGATAATGCCCAGGGGACGCTTGATCTGATCCTGCTTGATGAAATCAGAGGATAATCTCCAGTAGATGTAAGCGCTAGATCTGGTGAAAACAAAGGGGAAAGGTGCCAGAGGGTCATGCCCGAGATCAAACCCAGGGTCATGAATTTCTGACCCCCTTCTTCTGAATTGTTGCATTGGGTGTTAGTTTAACAATACAGCAGAACATAAAATCATATCAGAACCATGGGTTTCTAGCCAGAACAAACGCGCCAAAATTTGAACCGGGCAGTAAAGTGGTGACATGCTATCGGCTTCTCCCTTGTCCGTCGTTTAAAACTCATGACTTTTACCTACGGACATGGCACTGTAGCTGTAAACCTGTACATCTCAGAAATCACATACAAGCAATGTAAATAAAATTCAAGACCATGGATCAGCTGGGTTTGATCTGCTGATCACAATGGTCTCTTCCATTTAGGCCAATTTCGCCTGTACGAGAAAACCCTAAAACGAACCAAGAAAACCTAACAATGGAAATTCTTGATACAGATCATAAAAATGCAATAGAATATTACAGATAGTTTGCAAATGTTCTATGGATCAATAATATATGATTAATTCACGCTATCAATGCCTAAATCATGCAAACCGATTTCAAAAATACATGAATGTCGTGGTTGACTTACAGTGGTATTCAGGGCCTGAAAACACTTGTTCTGGATTGGTTCTGTTTGCTGATGACCTCAGTAGACGATTGGGATCGTCAAAGGATCTTGAAATTGCCTGTAACTAGGAATTCAATTCACCACTTTTTCTTGTTTTTTCCAAGCTTTTGTTCTTGATCACACGTCTCTTTTTCTAGCCTCTTTTGGTCTGCACACACTCCTTATGTATTGAGGAGTGATTAGGGTTTAAAGAATGATCATAATCTTCCTCCATTATTGAATTTGATTGTGATTTGATACATCTTGAATATCTTTCCAAAAATGGCATAATTCAATCTTTTTGTGCACCTCATGCTTTTACACAAATTTGATTTGATGCTAGTTGGATATTAAGACCTGAATCATGTAAAAAATCTTTGAATTTCAATGTTTTGGATTTTATATGATTTGTTTTGATTTAAAATGATTTTATTCAAATAAAAATCAAAATAAATAATATAAATAATTTAATGACAAGTGGAAAAGGATAGGGCTCGTGGACCATGTTGCCAACTTAAAACAAGTGAAAAAGATTGGGCCCATTTGAAACAACCGGCTAAAAATCATAAAACAATGAAGTCGCCATCGAACGTCTTTTATCCCACATGTAGGGAAAGGTAAACATCGAGAAAACCTGATGAGGGAGAAGTCACGGCCTTGCAACCGAGAGATCGGGTAAGGGAGTTTGTTACGCGAGGGGAAGGTATTAGCACCCCACACGCCCGTAGTACTCTACGGTATCCACTCTTGTTATCTATCTTATGGGTGTGTTTAATCTATGCTTACTGTCTACTATACTACTGGAGGGAGAATGCATGCAAAAGAAAGGAGAAAAGAATGTAGGGAAAATAAAATTGTGCTCTCTTGGGCCCTACCCCAATGCCTACGTATCCTTTTTGAGGAATCAGAGCTACCGTAGTTCGGCTCATATGTTTTTGTTTGTTTATGTTTTTTATGGACGAAGTTAATTCCGCCTTCTGCCGCAGCTCGACTTTTGGAGACTTATGCGTTGGCACAGAAGTAAATTAATCATGTCCTTACCTGAAAAGGGTTTTAAAGAAAGGGTGCTCGAGCGCACAAAAGATTTGATTTGTTTTGTATTTTTGTTGTAGATGATGACTGATTGACCTCAAGGGAGAGATATTAGCCATTTTTCTACTTAGCTATGAAAGGAGTTTTTTGAGAATTGAACCACACCTATGCTTGAGATGAAGAACAATAAGATCGAGAAGAGACCCGCTTACCATTTCTCGTACTAAGCAAAAGTGTGATTCTCATCAATAGTTTTAAAGTGTTTTGCATTTTGAAAGAAAAGAAGTTTTTGTTTTAAGTGCGAATGCAAAAGGGAAAGAAAAGTCAGAAGGAGACTAGCTTACTTATAAACCTAATGTTATTATGCGCGATTAGACCTAAAGTTAGAATTTGTGAGGGAATTCTACCTAATGTTAGCATGTTTGAATTGCGATAAAATACCGAAAATGAAGAATAAGATAGATTTGCGACAATACCGAACGGAGAAGGTCTGTTGCCTCTTCAAAATTGTGCGAGCGGTAAGAAAACTCTACCGAAGCCCCCTTGGGCAAGTGATTGAAGAATTCACCCCGAGCATTCCGCATTGCAAGAGTTATGTCGATGCTAAAAAAATCTTGACTAGAAAATGGCAACAAAAATGATTATCGAATATGAAAAATAAAATAAAAAATTCTAATCAAAATTCTAAAAAGAAATTCTATTCTAAAATATTCTATTATTTATATTGTCAATTGAGAGGAAAAAAAACTAAAAGAAAAACTAAAATAATAAAAGAAAAGAAAAAATTAGAAGAGTTAGGGGGTATGAAGTCTAAAAATATGGGTACTGAAGTAATTTGCCCAAAAAGATTTTTAACATTTTATTTATTATTTACTTAGTTATATTTACTTAGTTATTATTATTATTAATTTGAAATAAAATAATAAAACAATAAGACAATAAAAAAAATGAAAAAACGTATGAAATTGGAAAAGGAATAGGGTTAGAGAAAATGTTTCGTCCTTCTTCTCCGTAGAACAGCGGCGGCGCCTCCGCCTCTTCGTCCTCGCGTTGCCGTCTCCTTCTCTCTTCTCCTCATCACCGGCGCGGCCTCTTCTCTTCGCTTACGTCGTTCACTTCTTCTCTTGAAAACAAAACGCGGCGCTGTAACACCATCTCTGATAGATCTCCGCCGTTTCTTTCTGATCTCGGTCTCAAACGTCCTCGACTTCATCTTACTTCACTACCGATTTAACCTCATCATCGTTTTTGACTCACCACTTCATCTATGTCTCGGACCCAACCTTCTCTTCGATTCGCGGATACAACAGTTCACGAGTCAACACCTCGTCGCTCTCTCCTCCATGAAACCACTGTCTCACACTCCCCATCTCTCTTGTCAAATCAGCAGCGGCTTCAATTCAACCTTCTATTCTCTGTCCTCTTCATGCTCCCCTCACAACATCTCCAACCTCTCTTTTGTTTCAAGCCGTCTCGCCTTCATCTCATCTACGATTCAACCTTCCGCCACTCATCTTCAGATCAATCAGTCGGAGTTCGTCCGACGCGTCTTCGACGGTGGCGGCGGCAAAGACGAGAAATCGAGAGAAATAGACTCAGGTACGTTTACTCTTAGTGCTATCGCCTTCCTTCTTGTTAGTTCTTCTTTATGATTTGCATCTGCCTGTTGATGATTTAAGAATTGAAGATGTTGCAGTATGAATTTCTGTTGATGAGAAACGGCGTTGAATTTGTTGTAGATTTATCGTAGAAGAATTATAGGAGTTGTGGGAGATGGCTATGGCGATTGAAGCTGACGAAGGTGGTGATGATGACCGTGGTGGCGAGTCTAGAGAAGGAAATGGTATTGCCTGATGCCGAGGCCGCGGTGGTCGCGGTGGTAGAAGTCCTTCTCTCTGTTTCGAGATTGAATCAGTACATAGAGCATCAAGATGAGGATATAATTCACGTAATAATAATCGTTCTCGTGACTTATGCCATGGTACAGGGTTTGATCTAGGAAGACTCTGCATGCGTTGTAATGTGTAGTCTCTAGGAGGATCATTATTCGTCTCCGGTTGAAGACATAGTGGAAGATCTTGACCAGGGAATATTTCTTGAAACCATGACAGTAGTTGAGATTCTTGTATTCCCGGTGATGATTCTTGTGGCTGCTGCCGAGAGAGTTGGGATGGTGGAGCAGCGTTTTTTGTGGTGGCCTTGGTGGACGAGAACTTCCCACTGATTTGGGTGGTGGTGGATCCATGAGCAGAATATTGTTGACAAAATGCAATATTTAGTGGTTTCTTGGAGAGAAAGTATGAGGAGAATATTCAGCTTCTTGAGCTTAAGAGACTGATTGTAAAGGTGAGTTTCTTTCTTAATGTAAAATAATCGTATATTTCTGACTGTGGTTTCTCTCCTTTATGTATATGCTGGAGTTTGTTTTTATAGTTAAGAGGTTGGTTAACAAAAATTTTGTTAGGAAGTTACTCTGTTATTTTATTGTTAGAGATTATGAGAGGTTGTTATAAATTGGTTAAGAGGTGGGAAAAAAGGAAAGTTGGAATTGGTTTGGGAAATAGAAAGTTAGTTATAGTTAGAAGTTAGGAAAAAGTTAGTTATGAATTATGGTGCAGTAAGTTACTGTGTTATAAAATTTATGTGCAGGGCTGCCTTTATTTTTGGGTTACGGAATTGGTTTTGACAATTGGAAGTGTAGTGTATGCGGTTCAAGCTTATGACAGTTTATCCAATATTTTTGCAGGTTTGGTTCATGTCAAGGCTATTGGGAGGCAAAGGCAAAAGGAAAACACCAAGATGCTATGAAGTTGGAACAAAGACGCATAACACGAAGTTTGGAAGCTTGAAGTTTGAAACATGAAGAATGGTTGAAAATTAGGATAGGTTTTGGTAAAAATGTATAGATGTTATGTATAATTGTAATGGAATTTGGACTTGTATGTATTTGAACACATTGGAATGTATGTTGACTTTATTTCCACATAATGAAATGGCCTTTGTATGAATTCAAATAAATGGTATGAATCCAAAATATTTGCAAGGTACCCAAAAGAGACATGAATCTTGAATGAATCCAAGAGAGGCTATTTGGACAATATTTTGATGGTTGGATGAATTTGATGCATGCTTTTTCATACTTGTGGTTTGAATTCCAAGAAAGGCCACGCAAATATTTAAGAATTTTGATTTTCTCCAAATCCACTTCAAATATTGATGAATGAATTCTAATCAAACCACAGCTTCAGTGAACCCCTAATTCAATTCAATTCCTCAGTATAAACCAAACTTATGTGTCGAGCAATAAGCATTTGAAATAACGACACCTTGATCACAATCAACATCTTGTACCATGTCCCGACTATATGAGCACTAGAACAACGACGTCTTGGACCCCATCTCAATAGATGATAATGACTATGCCCTGAGGGATTCTCTGCAGATGAATATGAAAGATGAGACACGCGAATACCTTGATATGGAATGAACCTCAGGTAGAATGCTGACAAGCTCAAATATGAAAATGTATAAACCCTGATTTTTAACTTCGTCTCATAAAACTTGCAACTTGACATTGAGAAGAAAAGGATAGCCTCGTAGCTTGATGATGATAAGGTCCATGAAATGAAAACCTAGCTTCAAACAGATTATTAATGGAGAAATCAACCGAAACAAGCTTGTGCGAAGATGGGAGCCTTAAAGCCATACACCAACCCTTATTCCTCGAAATCCATGATCTTATGCCAATTTATTGATTAATGATGCATGATGTGTTAGATGACCTAATGTGAGAAAAATACAAAAATGCGTAAGCCAGATAAAAGTAAAAGGGTAGGACAAATTTGGGGTATTACAGCTGCCCCTATTTAATCGTCTTAAACCTGAAAGTACGATTGGCGCGTGCCTTTCGGAAGTTCAAGGTGGAAGATGATTAAATACCAATGCCAAAAATTTGTCCTGAGAGAGGGATAGTGTTTTCTTTATTTATTTATTTTGTGATCTGCCGGGAAAAAGAAATTTTTTTTTTTTTTTAATGAAGAGACTGAGACTGGGCTTGTAACGTGGCTTGATGCTAATACAAGACAAATGGTTGGTATGAAAAGACAGCGGACGAGGTCTACGGGCGACCTACGATTCGAGGGTGACACATGGGAGTGATTTGACAGAGAACCTAGCCAAAGGGCGATCTTAGGTTCGACGATGATTTGAAGGAAGAACCTAGCCAAGAGGCGATCTCAGGTTCGACGATGACTTGAGGGAGGAACCTAGCCAAGAGGCGATCTCAGGTTCGACAATGATTTGAAGGAAGAACCTAGCCGAGAGGCGATCTCAGGTTCGACGATGATTTGAGGGAAGAACCTAGCCAAGAGGCGATATCAGGTTCGACGATGATTTGAGGGAAGAACCTAGCCAAGAGGCGATCTCAGGTTCGACGAAGGAAACATGGGTTACGACACGATGATTGTTTAGATAAGCGACACAGATGAGCATCAGGAAAGTTAAACACGGACGAGTGTTTGAATCAATACGGACGAGTATTGAAAGAAGATACGGACGAGTATCCAAGGTTAAACACGGACGAGTGTTTGAATCAATACGGACGAGTATTGAAAGGAGATACGGGCGAGTATCAAAAGTATAAACACGGACGAGTGTTTGATCCAATACGGACGAGTATTGAAAGAAGATACGGACGAGTATCAAAAAGTTAAACACGGACGAGTGTTTGATTCAATACGGACGAGTATTGAAAGAAGATACGGACGAGTATCAAAAGGTTACACACGGACGAGTGTTTGATTCAATACGGACGAGTATTGAAAGAAGATACGGACGAGTATCAAAAGTATAAACACAGACGAGTGTTTGATTCAATATGGACGAGTATTGAAAGAAGATACGGACGAGTATCAAAAGTATAAACACGGACGAGTGTTTGATTCAATACGGACGAGTATTGAAAGGAGATACGGACGAGTATCAAAAGTTAAACACGGACGAGTGTTTGATTCAATACGGACGAGTATTGAAAGAAGATACGGACGAGTATCAAAAAGTTAAACACGGACGAGTGTTTGAATAACTGACCCGGGTGGGTGTTTAGGAAACTTGACACATACGAGTGCTTAGGAATGGACACAGACGAGTGTTTAGGGAAACGACTACCAGACATGAACTGGGTTTAGAACGGCAAAGTGTATTGATTTTGTTTGGCATTGAAAAGGTGAAGGTCACCGACTGGGGATTTTTGGGAATGATATCCTCCTGTAGGGATGTATTGTTGTCCTTGAATAATTCAGGTCTTTTATGTAAGGTACCCGGTCTGGCTTATGCTTTGTATGCATGTTTGAATTTCTTTTGACGCAAAGATCCACTCTGATGGATCAGCTACGCGCTTTTGAGGATGCAATGTTATGTAATGATAACTATATGCAATGCGAAGAAATAAACTTCATGGGGATAAAAGAAGGCTTGCTGGGAGCCATTGCTCATCACTGGGGATGTCAGTATATATTGATGCTTGGAAGTCTGCAGTACCAAAGATTGATGGGGTACCGATAAAAATTTGCACTGGGGAGCCCATGATACCGAAGATTGTTGATGACTCTGCTGAAGACTGAATTGCTGACGAAGCGAGTCTTTAGGTACACTGCTGGATTCTGAATCATACCGTTGGGAAGAGATAACCTGGCCAGACTTCCAAACATCATGAACTGTTGAGGGGGTGATATAAGTGAATATGCCGAAGAATGGATACTGAACACCATGTGGATCCCTCCGAATACATGTCCCAAGTTTACGCACACTGGGGAATTATCTCTTGAATCACTTGGGGATAAGAGATGAGCATGGACACCTATGAGTGCCCCGGTTTAGCCTTACTGAGGATGCTCTGGATTAACTCCACTGAGGATGCCCTTGCGCGTGCCGAGTCAAAAGACGATTCTGAACTTTCTGAATGCACTTGGGGAATCAGATTTGAAATTATTTGTAGTAGATGAAGGCAGCTTTGTGCGCTGGTCAAGTCAGGTTGATTGTCATGATGCTTTTAGCTTGATCGTAGTCTCGTACAACATAATTGACTTGAGCAACTAAGTATGGATGAGGAATGCCCCTGTCTGGAGGGTCTCTGAGAAGATCTATGTTGAATAGGAGATCAGATTATTCGTGCCACAAAACGATATGAGGTGGCCTGCCCCAGTGTCTTGAGCTACGAAATAAACTGCTCTGATTACAGCTTTCTTGGAGAGATTTGTTGAATCTTGACGTAACTGCCCCATGTTGAATGAATTCTGAATAGATCTCTCGGTGTGATAGCCTCTGATTGATCGAGCTTGAAGAGATTTATTGACGTGGTAGCCTCTGATTGATCGAGCTTGAAGGGATTTATTGACGTGGTAGCCTCTGATTGACAGTTTTGAGGGAATGCCCCAGATTTGGCTGAGCTTGGAGAGATTGATTCTCGACTTGATTGCCCCAGATTAGTGGAATCTGCTAGTTTTATCCCTGAAGGGTACTCAAGCTGTGAAGCACCAAGATGATTTCTCTTGACAGAATCACTGGTCAACATGCTACTAGATAAGTCATTTCTCTTGTGGTAGCTGACTCTTGCTTCAATAGGGTATTCAAGCCTCTCTTCTCTGACAAGATTGGGCTCTTCACCGATTGTTCATTGTGAAAACTTACTTGATGTCAATCAGTTGTTTTGTATGCAGAAGAATGTTTATTATGAGAATGATAATTCTAATGCAACACATATGCAAGTCTTGAAGTTTAAAAAAAACTTTGAATGAAATGACGTCACAACTTGTTGTGAACGAGTCACTAGCTAGAGAGAAACATTTGCAAATATTTTTTTATGAAAGATAATGCAAGCATATGATGCCAAAACAGATATTGAGACGTACCTCTTAGGAGTCAGTTAAACGCTATCTCGTTGTAGCACGCTTTCGAATTGACCCATGCTTCAGTTAGGACTTTTATGGGTTGTAACATGGTCTGGTTCACGGTTTTTAGAAAAAAGGATTTAAGGCTCAAAATTATTTGGTGCCCACCCATTTTCCATGATGTTCTCCATTCCTACGTTCAGTTGACCCGATACAAGCATTCGTCTCTCGAGAAGAGTTTGTGATGATTGAGGAACTACTGAGGTTTCTTGGACACGACAGTCACTAACTTCTTTGCCTTTGGTGTCTGATCAAACGACTTTGTTCTTTGATGAGGATTTTCGTTGGTAATCCTTTTCTCGCCTTTTAGGCTTTTCAATTTATTTCTTGCTTTCCCCACTTTTTTGCCTGGACAAATTCTTTTGAATTTTGATTTGGAAGTCCAGCGGGATGCCCCAATTTTTTCCTAAGCGACTTGTTTTCAAGTTTCGACTTGGCGGGGATATTTGTTTCTTTCTTATTCGTATTTTTTTTTCATTTTGAACAAGTCGTTGATCTTTGCGTTGTTTTTGATTTGTCTGAAGTGATCGTGACTGCCTGAGTCTTTGATAGATGATGGGTAGTCATTGTTGTATTGTCATCTGTCGACCTCCTGATGTGCGAGAGATATCCATTGGGATATTGTTAATTGATGCACGTTGATGATAGATGAGGGTTGACCACTGTTGTTTTGACTTTTCTCAATCTTTTGACGGATAACCATTGTTGTATCCTTGGACGCACACTCTTGATGAGTTCTGAATGCTTGATTAGATTAGCTGAACACTACCCGCCCCAAGGTTAGAATGAGGGTTTTTTCTGAACATAAAGGAAACTCCTACTTCGAAGGCTCAGAGGGTTTGACGAGGGTCTATCTCCCTTATATCTCCGGTGTTTGGGGATTGAAACAAGGCCTGTACATCGTCAGCAGGGTCTTACTCAAAAGCGTACCAATCGGAGATTTTGCGTTTTCAGATTGTCGTTATCCTCCTTTGAATCTTTACCTAAGCATAAGACTAGGAAATCTGGCATCAATATGCAAGTAAAACATTTAAAGAGTGATAACGAATGGATGAGTAAAAATGAAAGGAATACTTCAAGACAAGCATACTTATTGCATTAAGATTTTCGTTCAAAAATAGACAAGCTTCTATATACAAGCAATGTTTAAACAAACAAGCAAGAATGCAAATGAAAATGCAGTCAAAGAAACCAATGATTTCCATTGTTGAGGAGACTTGACTCCGTATGGACTTGCTGATTTTGACGACTTTCTGTAGTCTTGAAGCTTGAGTGTGCGAGAGAATCCCCTTTCAGATTTGATATGAACACAATAGTCTCTGAATTGATCCAGTCTTGGACTTGGTCTCTGGATGACATACCATCTTCGATCAATTGGCCAGGTGCCCCAGTATAATATGCATCATCAAGCACATCATGTATTAAAGAAATAATACACATCACCATCAGAGTTTCCATGACCTGACTTATCTGACTCTTTAATCCATTATCTTCCTGCTTGAAGAAGTTTCTGACTATGAGCCAAAGCTCGCATGTACCACTCAGAGTTATTCCATAGCTGGTCCCTGAACACGTGCAGTGAGAAACCAAGTTGAGCCTTTGAAGAGAACCCCAGGTCTGAATAAGAATCCCCAATCTTCGGATGCCTGTAATGAATGCATGAATATACATGGAGTGTATGAATGAATGCCATGTCATGTTTTGTCATTTCCAAGGAATTTGCGTGCTTTGATTTTGTTTTTGCGCAAGTAAGGGATGGAAGAATTTTGGCACAAGACTTGCAAATATGATTCCTTGAAAATAACAGAACATGTATGTTAAGCATGCAGTTAGCCATGTTATGTATGAAAAGGCATGAGATCACAGAGGATCATGGTTCCATCATTCCTGAATAAGGTTGCTGCACTGCTTTGGATCATGTGAGTATCATCAGATCAGAGGTCCGACATAACTTCTTCATATATAAGCGCCAAGTACCCTGTGGATCTCCCATTGTCTGGGATCAAGGCTTATGGAACATCGGATACTGTTGAGAATTTCTGAACATGCTGGGAATACCAAGATTGAAGGCTTGAATGAACCTCCAGGTAAACAAGTCAGGAACTTAGAAAATAAATCTGAGAACCGCACGGTCACCAACAGGATATAGCATCTGCATAAAGTCTTAACAGAAATCCAGAATATAGCCATCAGAATCAGTAGTCATTATCTGAGCATAGTTACCATCTGAACACGAGTGACCATCTGCACATAGTCACCATCTGTACCTGTGATAGAAATTCCCTCCCCATTCACGGGTGAAAACTAGGTCAGGGTAAGAAAATGGTAACTCGAAAATCACGGGTTCGCCTGAAAGTGCTATGGGCTTGCCCACATACGTGGGTGCCGATAGTAATTCATTTGAACCTCATCCGAGCATCGTATATGACATGACTGCACTAATCGGACCATGTTCTATAGCCGTCATGCCCCCACTCTAATCCTAGTGTCCTAGTGCACTCTGGCCTGGGTACTGGGCCTTTTACCTCAAAAGTGACATCCCCACCCAACATAGAGAACAGGGTTCAGCATAATAGATAACAGATATGGAAAGCCATAAAATGCAATGCAAACATGTACAAATGAGTAAACTGAAAGCATAAAAATAAACACCCTAAGGAAAGAAAACAAGAGCTAGGAGCGACTCCGGGATGGACCAGCATTTGGTCGACCTATTCCCCAGTGAAGTCGCTAACTGAAACAACCGGCTAAAAATCATCAAACAATGAAGTCGCCATCGAACGTCTTTTATCCCACATGTAGGGAAAGGTAAACATCGAGAAAACCTGATGAGGGAGAAGTCATGGCCTTGCAACCGAGAGATCGGGTAAGGGAGTCTGTTACGCGAGGGGAAGGTATTAGCACCCTACACGCCCGTAGTACTCTACGGTATCCACTCTTGTTATCTATCTTATGGGTGTGTTTAATCTATGCTTACTGTCTACTATACTACTGGAGGGAGAATGCATGAAAAATAAAGGAGAAAAGAATGTAGGGAAAATAAAATTGTGCTCGCCTGGGCCCTACCCCAATGCCTACGTATCCTTTTTGAGGAATCATAGCTACCGTAGTTCGACTCATATGTTTTTGTTTGTTTATGTTTTTTATGGACGAAGTTAATTCTGCCTTCTGCCGCAGCTCGACTTTTGGAGACTTATGCGTTGGCACAGAAGTAAATTAATCATGTCCTTACCTGAAAAGGGTTTTAAAGAAAGGGTGCTCGAGCGCACAAAAGATTTGATTTGTTTTGTATTTTTGTTGTAGATGATGACTGATTGACCTCAAAGGAGAGATATTAGCCATTTTTCTACTTAGCTATGAAAGGAGTTTTTTGAGAATTGAACCACACCTATGCTTGAGATGAAGAACAATAAGATCGAGAAGAGACCCGCTTACCATTTCTCATACTAAGAAAAAGTGTGATTCTCATCAATAGTTTTAAAGTGTTTTGCATTTTGAAAGAAAAGAAGTTTTTGTTTTAAGTGCGAATGCAAAAGGGAAAGAAAAGTCAGAAGGAGACTAGCTTACTTCTAAACCTAATGTTATTATGCGCGATTAGACCTAAAGTTAGAATTTGTGAGGGAATTCTACCTAATGTTAGCATGTTTGAATTGCGATAAAATACCGAAAATGAAGAATAAGATAGATTTGCGACAATACCGAACAGAGAAGGTTCGTTGCCTCTTCAAAATTGTGCGAGCGGTAAGAAAACTCTACCGAAGCCCCCTTGGGCAAGTGATTGAAGAATTCACCCCGAGCATTCCGCATTGCAAGAGTTATGTCGATGCTAAAAAAATCTTGACTAGAAAATGGCAACAAAAATGATTATCGAATATGAAAAATAAAATAAAAAATTCTAATCAAAATTCTAAAAAGAAATTCTATTCTAAAATATTCTATTATTTATATTGTCAATTGAGAGGAAAAAAAAACTAAAAGAAAAACTAAAATAATAAAAGAAAAGAAAAAATTAGAAGAGTTAGGGGGTATGAAGTCTAAAAATATGGGTACTGAAGTAATTTGCCCAAAAAGATTTTTAACATTTTATTTATTATTTACTTAGTTATTATTATTATTAATTTGAAATAAAATAATAAAACAATAAGACAATAAAAAAAAATGAAAAAACGTATGAAATTGGAAAAAGAATAGGGTTAGAGAAAATGTTTCGTCCTTCTTCTCCGTAGAACAGCGGCGGCGACTCCGCCTTTTCGTCCTCGCGTTGCCGTCTCCTTCTCTCTTCTCCTCATCACCGGCGCGGCCTCTTCTCTTTGCTTACGTCGTTCACTTCTTCTCTTGAAAACAAAACGCGGCGCTGTAACACCATCTCTGATAGATCTCCGCCGTTTCTTTCTGATCTCGGTCTCAAACGTCCTCGACTTCATCTTACGTCACTACCGATTTAACCTCATCATCGTTTTTGACTCACCACTTCATCTATGTCTCGGACCCAACCTTCTCTTCGATTCGCGGATACAACAGTTCACGAGTCAACACCTCGTCGCTCTCTCCTCCATGAAACCACCGTCTCACACTCCCCATCTCTCTTGTCAAATCAGCAGCGGCTTCAATTCAACCTTCTATTCTCTGTCCTCTTCATGCTCCCCTCACAACATCTCCAACCTCTCTTTTGTTTCAAGCCGTCTCGCCTTCATCTCATCTACGATTCAACCTTCCGCCACTCATCTTCAGATCAATCAGTCGGAGTTCGTCCGACGCGTCTTCGACGGTGGCGGCGGCAAAGACGAGAAATCGAGAGAAATAGACTCAGGTACGTTTACTCTTAGTGCTATCGCCTTCCTTCTTGTTAGTTCTTCTTTATGATTTGCATCTGCCTGTTGATGATTTAAGAATTGAAGATGTTGCAGTATGAATTTCTGTTGATGAGAAACGGCGTTGAATTTGTTGTAGATTTATCGTAGAAGAATTATAGGAGTTGTGGGAGATGGCTATGGCGATTGAAGCTGACGAAGGTGGTGATGATGACCGTGGTGGCGAGTCTAGAGAAGGAAATGGTATTGCCTGATGCCGAGGCCGCGGTGGTCGCGGTGGTAGAAGTCCTTCTCTCTGTTTCGAGATTGAATCAGTACATAGAGCATCAAGATGAGGATATAATTCACGTAATAATAATCGTTCTCGTGACTTATGCCATGGTACAGGGTTTGATCTAGGAAGACTCTGCATGCGTTGTAATGTGTAGTCTCTAGGAGGATCATTATTCGTCTCCGGTTGAAGACATAGTGGAAGATCTTGACCAGGGAATATTTCTTGAAACCATGACAGTAGTTGAGATTCTTGTATTCCCGGTGATGATTCTTGTGGCTGCTGCCGAGAGAGTTGGGATGGTGGAGCAGCGTTTTTTGTGGTGGCCTTGGTGGACGAGAACTTCCCACTGATTTGGGTGGTGGTGGATCCATGAGCAGAATATTGTTGACAAAATGCAATATTTAGTGGTTTCTTGGAGAGAAAGTATGAGGAGAATATTCAGCTTCTTGAGCTTAAGAGACTGATTGTAAAGGTGAGTTTCTTTCTTAATGTAAAATAATCGTATATTTCTGACTGTGGTTTCTCTCCTTTATGTATATGCTGGAGTTTGTTTTTATAGTTAAGAGGTTGGTTAACAAAAATTTTGTTAGGAAGTTACTCTGTTATTTTATTGTTAGAGATTATGAGAGGTTGTTATAAATTGGTTAAGAGGTGGGAAAAAAGGAAAGTTGGAATTGGTTTGGGAAATAGAAAGTTAGTTATAGTTAGAAGTTAGGAAAAAGTTAGTTATGAATTATGGTGCAGTAAGTTACTGTGTTATAAAATTTATGTGCAGGGCTGCCTTTATTTTTGGGTTACGGAATTGGTTTTGACAATTGGAAGTGTAGTGTATGCGGTTCAAGCTTATGACAGTTTATCCAATATTTTTGCAGGTTTGGTTCATATCAAGGCTATTGGGAGGCAAAGGCAAAAGGAAAACACCAAGATGCTATGAAGTTGGAACAAAGACGCATAACACGAAGTTTGGAAGCTTGAAGTTTGAAACATGAAGAATGGTTGAAAATTAGGATAGGTTTTGGTAAAAATGTATAGATGTTATGTATAATTGTAATGGAATTTGGACTTGTATGTATTTGAACACATTGGAATGTATGTTGACTTTATTTCCACATAATGAAATGGCCTTTGTATGGATTCAAATAAATGGTATGAATCCAAAATATTTGCAAGGTACCCAAAAGAGACATGAATCTTGAATGAATCCAAGAGAGGCTATTTGGACAATATTTTGATGGTTGGATGAATTTGATGCATGCTTTTTCATACTTGTGGTTTGAATTCCAAGAAAGGCCACGCAAATATTTAAGAATTTTGATTTTCTCCAAATCCACTTCAAATATTGATGAATGAATTCTAATCAAACCACAGCTTCAGTGAACCCCTAATTCAATTCAATTCCTCAGTATAAACCAAACTTATGTGTCGAGCAATAAGCATTTGAAATAACGACACCTTGATCACAATCAACATCTTGTACCATGTCCCGACTATATGAGCACTAGAACAACGACGTCTTGGACCCCATCTCAATAGATGATAATGACTATGCCCTGAGGGATTCTCTGCAGATGAATATGAAAGATGAGACACGCGAATACCTTGATATGGAATGAACCTCAGGTAGAATGCTGACAAGCTCAAATATGAAAATGTATAAACCCTGATTTTTAACTTCGTCTCATAAAACTTGCAACTTGACATTGAGAAGAAAAGGATAGCCTCGTAGCTTGATGATGATAAGGTCCATGAAATGAAAACCTAGCTTCAAATAGATTATTAATGGAGAAATCAACCGAAACAAGCTTGTGCGAAGATGGGAGCCTTAAAGCCATACACCAACCCTTATTCCTCGAAATCCATGATCTTATGCCAATTTATTGATTAATGATGCATGATGTGTTAGATGACCTAATATGAGAAAAATGCAAAAATGCGTAAGCCAGATAAAAGTAAAAGGGTAGGACAAATTTGGGGTATTACACCATTTGGCAAAAATTGAAGTTTTGGGCATAGTTGACTTTTGGCAATTTTGCAAAAAGGGTCAACTTCACCAATTCATAACTTCCTCAATTTTGACTCTTTGAAGGTGTTCTTGAACTTTTTAGAAAGCTTGATATGTCCTCTAATCGACCCTTTTGGTCTCATCTCAATTTGATATTCCATGCTCATGTATGAAGCTTTGACAAAAAAGGTGTTTTTGTTGACTTTTCAAAATGACCTATAATGTCCAAATTCATAACTTCTTGTGAGTGCATATTTTCAACTTGGGATATGAATATGGATTGTATATAATTGCATCCTCTTCAAAATGAGCTTTGTATGGGTCATTTATCATAAATTATGAGAAAGTTATGCTTGGTCAAAGTTGAGTTGACTTTTCCTACAAAACCCTAATTTAGCAACTTTTGGTTCTTGATGAATCATGAGAAATCCTTGATGAATCATGATCAACCCTTGATAAAATGATTAAATATACTTCAAAATGAGGATGTTGACCAAAAATCTTGAAGTTTGACTGTATGTGGGCCATAGTTGACTTTTGCCCTAGCACAGTCGATTTTTGGGCCTTTGAGCAATTGACTGAGCAAATTTTCTCTGCAAGGCTTGAAACTTGACATGGATGAACTTGATAACATAATAGGACATTAGTGAGAATTTGGGATCCCTTGGACTCAAGTATCTTGATGCAATATGAAACCCTAATTTGAGGTAGACTGCCTTAGGAGGAAGCTTGTCTGGTCAACCCTTGGACTACCTTGAGCAACTTGAGTATCTTTCTTGCAATGTTTTGAGAAATATGGGAGGGAAAATTTTGGGGTACAACACCATGATAGTACACATCAGCACCATAATGCCATGGGATAACCTTGTCTGAGGTGTATGGGATGGGACTAGGAACAATGATTATCAGCAGAGCAATTCTTTGAACAAGTGTAATCCTAACAGGTCTTCTCAAGGAAACCTTGGAAGGATTGGAAGAAATGGTTATAATAGCGACGCATTTAATAGGAACAACAGGGATCACAATGTTCTCAAACAAAATCTATTTATTATCCATCAGACGCTGAACACCTGACTTCAACAAACGGCAACCAGAAGGTAGAATCGAACACATGTGGCAACCTTCACCACAACCCAGAAATAAACCGACCAACAAAAAATTCTTCTTAACAGTCATAAGAGGAGTAGAAATTTCTTCAATAGAGGTCACAAACAAATCAGTGTCAACAACATTAACTCCATGACCATGTTTGGGCATGGGAGTAGTTATAACATTCAGTTTTTCTGGAGCATCGAACTCTATCTCCTTGGCTTCAAGCAAGTCTTGTACTTTGTTTCTCAGAGCCCAGGAATCATTTTTATCATGGCCAGAACTCTCAGAATGGTAGGCGCACTGCGCTTTGGGATTGTATCTGGGAGAGGAAGTGTTTGGCTTCTTGGGAGCCTCTTTCAAGGTTGCCAAGTTGGATTTTAATAAATGAGGTAGAACTTCAACCAAAGTCATGTTGATGGGGGTAAACTGTAGTTGTGGTCTTTCCACCCTTTGTTGATTGTTGCATTGTGGAGCAACTGCGGGTCTTGGTATCACTACAACATTTACCGTTTGATGGTGTTCAGATCTGCTTTGGCCCATCGGGCTATAGACTGCACTGGATTCCTTCTTACTAGAGAAAGGCTTATTTGCTGAACTCGAGGAGGCATCCTTCTGTATTTTGCCACTCCGAATTCCAGCTTCTACTCTTTCTCCAGTTAAAATCAGCTCAGTGAAACCAGATGACGAGCTGCTGATTAAGTGATTGAAAAATGGACCTGATAGCATTCCTAGAAACATATTAACCAACTCAATATCAGACAAAGGGGGTTGAACTCTCCCAGCCAAGTCTCTCCATTTTTGAGCATAATCTTTAAAACCTTCACCTGCACCCATGGATATACTCTGGAGTTGAGTACGAGTGAGAGCAAGGTCGGCATTGTACTGATACTGCTTATAGAAAGCAACAACAAGATCTTCCCAGTTTCGGACATTGGCTCCCTCCAAATGGTAGAACTATTTAAGCTGAGTCCCTGACATACTATCTTGAAATAAGTGCACCCACAAATTTCTATCAGCGGTGTGGGGATGGATTTTTCTGACATAAGAACGGAGATGGAGTTTTGGGCAAGACACCCCATCATACTTAGCAAAAACTGGAACTTTGAACTTCTGCGGGATGACTACTCCCGACACCAATCCCAGTTCTTCAAAATCTAGTCCAGGTATCCTCTGAACTTCCATGGCACTCAGACGGTCTTCTAGATTCTTGTATCTATCCTCATCAGGAGGATATTGCTCATCATTATAATCAGTATCATTGTCATAGATTGCAGAACTAGGGTCCTTCTCTTCTTCCTTATTCTCCCCTTCCTTGGATGAAGAGGTCAGACCAGTTTGTCGCTTCAACCGCTCTCCAAACCTTCTGCCCATATTCAGAATACCGACAACCTTCTTCTTTTTCTTCTTCTCTTTCAGAATGAGGGCTTTCAGATCCTCCTGCCCTTTTTCCAGACTTATGAACATTTGTTGGAACTGGGCGTTCTGTGCCTGAAGGTCCTTGATGGTTTGCTCGGAAGACATTTCGTGTTGAAATAAACAGCGAAGAAGATGAGAAACCTGTAATGGTACATGTAATGATGTGTATGATAATGGGATGCGCATGTAATGATTTCAAAGACTTCGGGAAATTTAAATTTGCAAACCAAAATAAACAAAAACTTTATTAGCTTAAATTTGAAGGTTCAAAATGCCTTTAAGGCGTTACAAATAAGTAAATAAAACAAATCTAAAACTAGAAAATAAAAATCAAATGTCCCATGGACGCTTTCTCTTTGTGCTGATATAATCATTGA